CTAGCATGACTGATTTTTTTTCTTCTTCTTACAATGCTATACGTATGAAAAGAAAAATAAGATCGTAAGAACTAACAAACTTGTAGAAAAAAGAGAAAAAAAGACCGAGCATTCTTCAACTTAATATTGAATGCATAGAATTTTTTTCTATGACGAGAAAAATGACGATGATGTCTTTCACTAATCAATCAATAGTGAGAATGGAAAAGAAAAGAAAAAAAAACGGATAAAGATAGATCTTTTCCAATAAGAAATACTAAACTGTTGATATAAAAAAAAAAAAAAAAAAAATATATGACGTTCATATGGCAATAGTAGAGTGTGTTATCTTAATGGAAGGAATGTTCTAATTGTGTGTCAGAAAAAAAACAAAAATAAAAACATAAGCTTCTGCTTTTTATTTATTGTTGTCATACAAGAACAAATGATTTTCTTTCTTAGGATAGAAAAAGAACGAGTCAAAGAATGAGGATTATATATTTCTCTTGGCCAAAAAAAAAAATCTTTTACGATTCATGTATATCATTTACTAGTAATGGCACATGTCATCTAATATAATAGTGACATTGCTAGTTAACTATATTTAATTTTACATTTTCATAATGTCAGTATAAAATTTATAAGATGTCTATAGAAAAATATTTTGAGAAATTTTTCTAAATAAACTGAAAATACTTAAGAAATTGAATAACTGTGAACAATTTGAAATCATATCAATTAAAATGAAAAAAGTACATAATAACCTAGAACATCTTTTCAAATAATTTGAATATAAATAATTAAAATAAATTCTTCCTGTTTAATAGAAATGTATATTAATATTCAATGAATAAAAATAAGCAGGTTACTCAATGACATTGTGAACTTTATTTCCGAGTCATTTTATTTCAATCTATATTTAGTTCAATACAAGAATTCCTATGACTAACTACTCCTCTAAAACATTTGCATGATAGTTACTATTTGACATTCACTAATCTAATATATTAATTAAAATAGACAGATATCATAGTGTGAAATCAACTATGAATTCAAATTTTTATCTTACTTAAATACAATGTTTTTGTTATAGTGTTATTTCATCAAGAAGAAATTCAATGGTTCTTATGAAATATATATGTAATTATCTAACACATCTTGTTTTTTACAGAATACTTTAAAATATGTTATAGTTAACAACATTCAAAGCTTTTTATAGTATCTAAAAAAAGAAAAAAAAGAAAGAAAAATATAAATTTTTCATAATTTATTGTTCTTTTCTGTATGTAATGTCGACTCTATTTATATGGTTAAAAATACACAAAATGCAAAAAAATAATTTGTTTGATTTTTACATATTTAGTTTTTATTCGATTCTTCAAATAATTTTTATTGTCATCGTTATATTTCGACCAGTCAATTGATGTAAACAATATTCAATAGAAAGAAGAAAAAAAAACAAACAAAGAATTCTATTCATTATATCTAATGTTGTAGTATGGAATCAAAAATAAATCTTTTGAGGTATCAAGTTCGACAATTTAAAATCTAAGATTCGTCCTGATTGATTAACTATAAAAAAGAACATATTTCTAATTAATAAGTAAAAATTTTTAATATGTATGTATCATTAAGATATAATGAACAATAAATTAGATCAGTAAATGTTGCTGTTGGATGTCCTAATGACATTGATTTTAATTCATCATTAATTTCTTTTTTCATCACCTGTACCTACTGAACGATCAAACATAAAACCATTAAAATCTTTGTCTATATCAAGATTGTCTATATTTATATTTGGTTTACAAATAGAAAAAAGAAACATTTGATCTTAAGGAGACTCGTGTCCCTTTCCGAGGTTTCTAGTCCAAATTTCCAAATACTTTCTTGTAGGAAATGTCTAGGTCGCAAAGACTAACAATCCCATTGTTTTTTCAGTCACAATACGTTCGACACAGCTAGAATTTTTTTAATAGATACTACATGCTGTTTGGGATGTCTACTTTTTTATTGCTTTCTTTTTATCTTCTTCCATTGAAATAAAAAGATAAACGTACTATGTCGAACGATTCTGCAGTTTTTTGTTTTTGTGTAAAAATTGATTTCGAAAAATACGCAAAAACAGATTTCGTTATATGTATCAGGAATTTTTTTCTCCAATTAAAATGATCAAAAACTGACCTTGTTCAACGGTGTGAAAGGTCAATATAATTACGTGAATTTTGCATACAAAGAATTATCACAGTGGGAGTTGTTTGTTTTTTTTTCTAGGAATTTCAAGCGTCGAGTGTTATAAAAGTATTAATTAACAATGAAGAACGCATTTAACAGAGAACACTTCGAAGTTGTATTATCAATAAGTCGAAAAACTTTAGATTCTCCCATCCGGAAGAGAAGAAGTATCTCTAATTCACCAAGAAGTTATTCGAGCAATACTTGAAAAACATCAGCAGATATTAATGGAAAGAAATTATTTGATTATTTATTATAAAGAGCTTTTATTGAAGTCAATTGACTTGATCGATCCTAACCATTTACATTTTTTAAAAGTTTTCTAGGACATATTATAGAAAAAAAAAACAATATGAAAAGAAATTATATATAGAAAATTTAAAGGTTAGACAAGAAATACAATTTAAAGATACAGAAAAATAGGGCAAGATTAGTAGGAAGAGATAATAGTAGTGTTTTTTTTTCTTGAGTTAATTGAGTAAATGAACTTTGATTAACAAATTGCAATAGTTTGTTAAAGAAGGTAGGGAGAAGTCTTATTAAAATTTATTCATGTATGTGCTAGATCGTCCTCTCGCAAGTGATTCAATGAAAGCTTTTTTCTATATAGTATTGATGTGTTTTGTTAATAATAGTTTTATTCATTATATCACAAGTAATTAATTCTTGTTCAATATTTCTAATTTACTTTTACTACGATCTTTTTATACTTTTCTTTCAATGTAGAAAGTAAAAATTTGACGTGAAGATCCCTAGTGAGACAATCAAAAATATTATATAATATTAATGAAAACGAGTAAATTCTTTGCATTAGTATGATAAATGTTAATAGACCAACTAACAATATTGATATACGCAATGGATAACTTGATTCTAGATTAACTATATCACTATTATGAAAATAAAACAGCAAAAAAAAAACAAAATCATGATCAGATATAGGTCGAAGAAAATACATACTAAGAACCTTCTGATATAATCATTAAAAGATAATCCATGCAAAAAAAACTACGAAAATAAATTCGAGGTATTATTATTATTTTTTTTTTTTTGTCTAGATCTAATCGGATCATTTTGAAGATCATTAATGAATAGGTGATTACAGCATGATAATAACGGCATTGGTCGTTTTTGTTCATCTTTTCTTTTTGGAGTTTTCAAAAAGGTGTGTCATTGCATGGAGAAAAAAAAACGTATTAACGCATGATGACACGCAAAAAAAAAAACAAACAAGGCGAGAAGAAATTTTGTGTATGATCTACTTACAGCCGATAGAATGAAAAAAAAACGAGACTTATTTCTTCTGATTTTTTTATCAATGTGAAACTACTAAAGGTTATATAGTAGAATATAGAAAAAAAAAATCAAAAACAAAATATTATTTAATAGCAATTTTTATAGAAAGAAGTTAGCAACAATAGAATGACAAATTGATAGATATTTAATATTAACAATTGATTGATCTAACCTTGATTTATATTGTTTTGTTATTCTCTTTTCATGTATTCAACTAAATTGGATCGAATTTTGGTAATTCATAATTATTTTCAACAAGATAAATGTCAAATATCTAGATTTGTTTTTCTAGAATAATGAATTTTAATAATATGAAATTCTAATAAACTATCAGCTATAGTTTTGTATTTAACTTTGAGCAATGATAAAATTAGGAACTTATTTCAAGATGGATTCAGAAATAGAATCGAACTAGATTTTTCACAATCGGTATCAAGCTGAGTAGGTCACAATGACATTGAACTGACGAATTGTCGTACTATTCCATCTGTGAATAATGATATACGACGCAATTAATATTATATTCATAGATTTAACCAAGAATAAATTTTTTTGTTCTTTATTAGAATCATAATGTTTGTTGAGAATAATTTACATCTATTATACTCGATGACATATTCTTTATGATACCTTGAAATTAGTAACGTAAATAATGATTAGTTCAGACTAGATGGCAGTCTGAATACTTGCTTAATATCAATTCTAAATGCAGATCAGTATTCAGAATATTCAATGATTTGTCCATATGGTTATTAGAATGTTTCATAACATGCACTATTAGAAAAGATGATCAAGATTGTATCAGTATTATTACTTGAATATCTACATGCAATGTTTCGGCTATCGAAAAAAAAAACATACTTTGAAAGTTATTGATGTTTCATATTTGTGATATTACTCTTCGAAATATGTTGTTTTCTATTTCTATAAAATTCAATTGCATACGATTTTTTTTTATAAGCAAACAGAAATATTAAGGAAATAATGAGAGCGGCGTTTATTTTAGGTTGCCCATCAAAAATAAAGGAATGGAATTTTTCAATTAACATTAATAAAATGTATTTTTGTCATTGTCATATCATACTAAGAATCATCAATCTACATTCGAATTTGAACATACGAAAATAATGCTTCGAACAAACTTATAAGAAAAGAAAACTTTTACTTATAACTTATTTTCTTAATTAATCTTCTAAATAATCATTTCATTCAAATAAAAATCTAATAAATAAACATAGTGATCACATAGATAGAATTAAAGAAGAGTATCAATAAATCCGAAATTGAATTTTAAATTTCTTAAATATTTATTAAGTATGTTATTGAACTAGACTTTTCTTGAAGTTTATAATTAGATTTAGAAATATTCGATAAATCTAACATATGTTTCATTGAATAAAAATAAAACCATTATCTGTTATTGCAAACAAATATTTCATGACATTTTTTGTGATGCATATTGCTTGCTTTTATTCATTGAAAATAAAACGATGACAAGTACATCCTATACTAACATTCTAACCAACTGGTTTCGTATTCATATTTCATTACCACGAAAAACAAATATGACCACATCTGTACATCGTACAGGTTATGCTGCAGCTTATCCAGAAATTAAACGATATCATCGTCAACAATACAATTTATTTTCTTGTATTCCATTATGTTATAAGTCAAAGAAAAAAAATAAAACATATTTATTAAATAACAATGAATCAAAACTAAATCGAAAATATTCTTCAATAAAAGGATGTGCAAGTTTTGCTCGAGTTGATACATATCAAGAAGGTGACGTTGAAGAAGATTGTTAATTTCAATTATGGTTTTATTTTTATTTTACAACATAATACTTGTCGAACATTATTTTTATCCATTCATTTTCTTAACTTTTATTTGCAGAACTATTAAATATGATAAAAGTTTTATAACATTTTTTTTTGAAATTATTGAAACAAAGAAATAATGGAAGATACGCAATTTAATTCTCTTCTGAATTTCCATTAGCACTAATTTAAAATAATGAAAAATAAAACCTAGACAATATCCGCAACGCTCTATCGATTATCTATAAATAAACATTGCTTTAAATTGATCGCAAACCATATTTTAAGAACAGCAATATTTTCTTCATAGATTTATTTGTTTTCAAAACATGTATTCTATACATGCTATCTGTGATCAGGTCAAGTTCATTTTTGCCAAAATTTTGAATGAATTGATTAATCTTCTTACTTGTAACTCCAGTGAAGCTTTAGACAAAGTTCCAATTTTGTAAGAAACAAAAACGACTGTTTTTGTTGCAGACAATTCCTATTGAAAAGATATCAACTATCATTATCGAATACTGCTAGATGATTCTGAAAGTACGGTTTCCGCTAGGTTTTTTAAATTTGATTATTTATAAAAGATGGCGCCACAAAATTAATCATTACTTAGAAGACTCGGCTAGAAGGAAAAAATGTAGAGTTAGGCCTGGTCTACACTACAAAAGTTAATAGCGTATTAAGAAATATAATTGGTCAAAAAAGTTAATACACTTTTCAGAACTGTATTAAAGTTAATACGCCAATCAGAATTAAAATTGATTCATTAATTAATTAAAATAACGTGATTTTCCATTGACAATTCCTCCATTATTGAACAGAATAAAACGACGCTTTATTTCGAGATCAACGATTTTGATTGATACATTAACTTTCAAATGAAGACACATATCGATTTAATACGAAATTAATACTGACCTATTTTTCTAGTGTAGGTAGGGTCTTACTGACATGACATAACGTACTGTGATATATTAAAATCGATTTTTTTTTAATAATAAACAATCAGGTCAAGATGGGAAATGTTAATTCAATAGAAAAATCAAACTTAATAAAAACGAAGTAAACTGCTCGAATCGTTAGTTTTGATATAAAAAAAATTGATGACACAGAGTGAAGTAAAATGCTATTCAACAAATGTATTATAAATTAAAGAATTTATTATTGGATAATCATCTATTCATTTGTAAATTTTCATGTATTGAATAATCTTACTTTAATTTATCTAAATTCAACTTTAAGAAATATCATTGACATAAAAAAACTGTTATTCCTAATTTCCGAGAATGTAAGAAGATATATTGTCAATGATGTTTTACATTAATCTTCATACATACAATTCCATTAATTACTAATAAGACAATACAGACAAATCTAACATTTTTACATGTCATCAATAATGAGTTTTTCTTTTCATTTAATAAAAGAATGCCATTTATAATTCATCAATCATTTTGTTTTTCTTCTCAATGGATATTTCAAACGTTTTTTTTTCTTTTGATTATCAAAAAAAAAAGAAAGAACCAATTTAAAATATTATTTCTAGTTTGTTTTTGTTTTTTTAATATTATATTTTCTTCATGCGTAATAAAAAAGAAAAACAATAGACTTGTTTTTTAAAAACCAAACGAACTGTACAGACAAGCTCATATGAGAATTGAATTACACTTTCAAAAAAGTGAATGAAATGTATACAAAAGGAAAAAACAATGAGAGACAACAGAGAAGTAAATATGATATTTATTCAGAACATATATAATGAGAAATCAGCGAAAGACTTACGGGTTAAAAAAAAAAGGCAAAATTTTATATTTCAGACGGAATGTAAATGTTAATTAAATGATCATAATCTTGTTATAACTACGTCAGATTCATCGGTTGTGTCATTATTAGGATTATTAACAACTGATATTGTCGATGGTTGATATTGAACGATCATTGATGATTTTCGATGATGATTTATTGTTTCATCATTAATAGAACCTGAACCAGTTCGATTACGAGTTAAATGATCTAATAAAAGAAAGTTTGTTGTTGTTTTTTTTGTTGGAAATTTTTATTTACAAAAAAAAATTAATAAATAAATTACCATTTTTTCTTAATAATGTTGGTGTTAAAAGAGCTCGTATTGTTCCATTAGAATTATCATCATTATGAGTTAAACCTAATAATCGTGATTTCCAACGATGTCTATATCCATTTGATGTTATTGGTAGAAAAGGAATATGTAATTTTTTAGGTTTTTCATCATCTGCTTGAATATAACCTAATGTACAATAAGATTTATATAAATGAAGACTCGTATCAAAAAATCGAGAATCATTAGAAAAAATGGATTGAAAATGTTCTCGATTTTCATAGAGAATATTTGATGAATCATTTGGAAGGTCAGTAGGTGATAATGTTGTCATTGTAGCTGTTGATGATGAAGAATTAATACTTATTGAATGTAATATAGACATTATTTTTAAATGTTAATATTAAATATAATAGATGCTCTTTTGAAGAATAAATGATCATAATATATACTCGTCAGATCATCTTTGTTTTGTTTTTTTTTTTGTTAATGAATGAATGTGTAAATCCGTCTTTTATTTTAATTAAAAATAATATCTATTTTTTTACACCTATTACCTAGCAAGTGTTCTAGATGACGCTAATTGACAATTCAATTATTGATGATTAATATTAAAACAAAAAACTGATCAAGTATTTAATTTCCATAAAAATAGTTTAAAATGTGCTTACTAATGAAATGTTGCAAAGAATCGAATTTCCTTTTCACATCGAAGCAGAATAATAATCTCGGAAATTAATACTTGTAATCAACTGTTAGTAGACTTTGTAATATTAAAAAATGATAGTTATGAATTATAAGTAACAAAGAAGAACTTCTCCATGTTGAAGTCTTTAAAGTTTGAAGAGTAAGTTTTAACATACTATTGCATGGTATTATAATCTAATATTTCAAATGAATAATCGATAGGTGTTTACACAATTTGTTTATCCAATTTTTCGATACTTAACAATTACTGGAGAGTATCAAAATTCGATGTTCTTTCTATCTCTATGTTCAGATTCATTTGTGTATCTTAATTAGAACTACCGCAATTCAAACCATAAGAAAATATTTTTTTTTTTTGTATTTATAATAATGTATACGACGATGTTTATTCTACAAAATATCAATTTGTTATATGTCACAACAAAGGATCGAAATTGTTTACATTTTAAACATCAAACTTTTAAACAAGACATTTCGTCTTTTATTGAAACATTGTATCTGGTGTAAATAGTAGTTCTACAAGAATTAATTGCCGCTTTTTGTTTTGAAGTCTGATTTATTGTAATCTATAATTTTGTAGAAAAATAAATTGTCTATAAAATATCATTCCGAACAGTTAATTTTTCGAATGAACATCAAAGTTTAGTCCTAACTCACTGGTCTTTTGATTGTTTCCAACGACTGTATAATGCAAAGATTTATTTTCTTTTTTTACATATAGATTATTTTCTCACCGGTGTATATGAAATATTTTTGAACTATTTGAATAGAATAATATAACACATGAGACAAGAGTCACTTACTAACCAGTCAAGTTGTTTTGTTGATTATACAATTCTTATGCAATTGGTACTATATGTACGTGACATAATTTATATTCTTTTATTTTCTATTTTGTGTGGATAGGTTGCTGTTTAATTTGTTGTACTCTTTATTACATTGATCATTCTTATTTTGATTCAAAATGATACGTATGTGGACAATTGGAAGCAAAAGTTAGACTTTCTATGGTTTGGTTGATGATGTCATTTTGTATGAGAAAAAATATACTATTATGCTTATCTCGTATTTATACTTGATGTACCATCGTTATTGTGTTTTTATTTTTGTCATTAAATTAAATGCAAAAATAATTATAATCGTCATTTAAGCGAATTGTTCCATTCTTTTATATACAGTTTTCTTTTTTTTTTTATTGTCAGAGACTATAATGATTAAATCGATTATAAAATAATCGTTTAATTTTACTTGTTTCTCATGATAATAAGTATTTAATGATTAATATGTGTTATTACTTTATGACTTCATCATATTTTTTTCTAGAAGACCTAAATATTGTTCATATTACAAAAAATACTCATGACAATATATATAATATCCTAGCAATAGCACACCACTCATTGAACATGTTCCTCCCTTCTTTTCTTTCTCCATTAACAAAATATAATCGTACAAAAAAAGAACATATATATATATATATGTAAATCATCATTGTCACAAATTTATCCAAATTTACTTTCATCAAATAGGTGAATGTATATTCTTTTTGTTTTTTTCTTATACATGAATTTGATTGCGTTAGATTTGAAGTACAATCACATATACTTGAATGATCTTATTCACTTCTATATATATATATATGCATGTCTATGCATCAATCGATAATTATTTTTAAAAGTACACAGCTTGTCATTTCTGCTAAGATGATCACACATAATGATGTATTAGACTACCTATTTTGATCAATATCACATCTAATTCTTTCACTTTCATGCATTCACACTTATGATTGTGATAAAAATAAAACATATACATATCAAGGATTGTTCTATATTAACAATGGCATACTAGTAGGTACTATAAGATTTAACTAAATCGTATATCTAATTTTTTTTGTTATTAATATAATTACTCTTAATACAAATAATCATCAATAGACATATATGTATTCATTTAGTACATTAATCAAAAAAATCTTTCTCTCTTGTCAACAAGCTTTTAGTGTTGAAACAAATGAAGCATATAAACAGTAGACGATAGTCAATAAGTGATGAATACCAGATAAAAGATTGACTTAAGACGATTAGAGAAATACAATGATAATCTTGTTTATTTTGCATAAAATCACCTATAAAGTAAGAATTGAGATTTATTGAAAGGCCATCAGTAAAAAAAAAAGAAGAGAAATTTTCTTTTTTTTTCTTTTCCAAGGATCTTGTATGAAGTAATTCACTTAATGGTTATGCATTTCACTGTTCATTTGAATTGCATTAAGATGATGCAATCATTATTCACTTGACAAATACACAGCAGGGAACAAGTCACTATACATCCAGAGGTTGAATTTTTTTTTATTTCGTTGTTTCTCGTAATATCATATCTATCTATTATTATTTTGTTAAAAATGAATAAGAATATCAACATTTATATATATGAATAACAATTGAAATAAGATATTTACAAGAGAATATAGAATGATTTACCTTGACCCTGACATTTGGTTCTTTTTTTTTTTTTTGAATATTAGAAAACGAAACTTTTGTATTTAAAGAATAAGAAGAAGAAGAAGAAGAAAAAAAACGACTCATATTGTTCATTTGTCAGACGTCGCGACAATTGTGAGTATAATTATTGTATATTGTTCGCAATATACTACGAAATTGGAGAAACACATTTTGTGTCTAATTACAATGTCACTATTTATGCCAGTGTACATAATTACAAAATAAATGTCTCGTCGAATTGTTTTGTTTTGTTTTAGATGACTAAAATTTGTACATGTGATTGAAGATGATTTGGTATTTGTTTTTAATAATATTAAATTTTTTTCATATTGATGCTAGTATTCAATGTAAGTTTTAAAAAGAAAAATCTTTAAATTTATAATATTTTTCTTTTTCTTTTTAATTAAATTTTAATTTCAAGTATGTAATGGTCCATTGGGTATGATTAGTGGTGAAATACGTGATTGGCAAATAACAGCATCATCAAGTTTTTGGGATTTGGATTGTCATGAAAAAAATGCTCGATTATATCAATCATTTGATCGTGCATGGTGTGCACGACATAAATCAGATTCAGAATGGTTACAAATTGATTTAGGTATTACTGCAAAAGTTAGTAGGAAAATTTTTTCGTCTAAGATTTTAGATGCCAAGAAAAAAAAACTTTTATTGTCTTTATCGTAGATATCAGGTGTATTAACTCAAGGTCGAGCAAATAAACAAGAATATGTTACATCGCTTATGATATCATATAGTATAGATGCATATCGATGGCAATATCTTGTTGATCAATATGGAAATCAAAAAGTACGATTATTTTGTATTTTTAATCTTAATCAAATAAACAAAAAAAAAAGTTTTTTTTGTGTGTTTGTTTATTTAGATATTTTCTGCTAATACAGATTCATATTCTATTCATAATAATTATTTTGATGAAGTAATTATTGCACGTTTTATTAAATTTCATCCAATTAAATGGTATTTACATCCATCATTACGTGTAGAAATTATTGGTTGTCAAGGTTTAGATTGATTTTTTTTTTCTTTTAAGATTTTTCTTTTATTAAAATATGTAATCATATTATATAGAATGTAAACAATATTTGGGTTTACCACCTTATGGAAAAATAAGTGCATCAACAACATGGCCATCTCGTCGACGTGCTACATGTCAAGCTGAAGATGGTTATATTATGAGTAATAAAGGATGGTGTTCAAAAAGAAGATATAGTTAGTTTAATATTGATTATTTAATGATTTTTGTTTTTTGAACGAAGAAGTTTTCTTTTTTAGGATATGATCAATGGCTTGAATTTGATTTAGGACATCCATCAACTGTAACATCATTGATAACTAAAGGTCGAGGTGATACAAATCAAGAGCAATGGGTTACAAAATATAAAGTTTCATTTTCTAATGATACTCGTTTATGGTTTTATTATAAAGATAAATCACAGATTGAACCAAAGGTTTGTGTTTATTTACGGAGATTGAAATATAAAACAATCTTCCCTCCCTCACCTGCCTTAGACTTATAGATCGCGAAGGACACACGGAAAGAATCATCGTTTTCAGTTACATCTACATACAAAATTAAAATTATTGATGAACTATAAATCATGAAAATCTCTTTTCCAATAGGCTATTCTTAAGTCTATGTAATGTTTTTTGATAATTTCATAAACTAAATATTAATTTTGAAGCGTCATGTCTGGTTCTTTTTTGTTATATGAAAATTTCCTTGTAATATATTGTAGGTATTTGCTGGAAATAATGATCGTGATAGTGAACGTATTCATTTTTTAAATCAACCATTTTTTGCTCGATATGTTCGTTTACATCCTATTGAATGGTATAATCATGTTAGTATGCGTGCAGCTATTCTTGGATGTCCACATAAAGGTAATTCTTTTCGATTATTATCAGATAAATATAATCAGATGCGGTTTTTTTTTCTTCTTATTTTTAGGTACTTGTTTTCCAGGTTATTTTCGTGTCAATAGTGAAGCTCAATGCAGTATGTATGATTGAAATGAAAATTTCTTAAATTAAGTGTGTGTTTATATGTTTTTTCTAGTTGAAAATATGGCATATAAGAAACAAACATGGACAAATGATCGAAATCGTCATCATCAAAAAATTGGTATTGATGGATTTAAATTTCGTAGTATAAGAGAAACTAATGGTGATCCATCATTAGCTGTCGATGGTTTTGAAGAACCGTTAGAATGGTCAAAATGTGCTACTATTGATAATTATTTTGTTAAAAAACCTGTTTGGATGGTTGATTTAGGTCGACGAACAAATATAGCTGGTGTCATGTTAAGAACATGGTATGAAAATAAAGGTAATAAGAAGTTAAAAAAAAAAAGTTGAATCAAAAGGAATTTTTATTTGTTTTCTTGTTTTTGTTGAAGAATCTAATGCATCTTCATCGATATATCGAAATTACTTAGCAAATTTAGATCGATATAGTGTTTATATTAATCATTATCCACGTCGATATCGTTTTCAAAATAATAATCTATGTTCTTATATAACACGTACGGATCAATCATTAACTTCATCATCTCGTTTACATTTTCAATGTCAACGTCCATTACATGGTCGTTTTGTTTATATTGAAGCAGACGGTGCTAATAATCATTGGAATAAATTATTTACTGCTGTACTTTGTGAAGTATTTGTATATGAGCAGTAGATTGAATATTTATTCGTCTTTGTGTTCTATTATGTTTAATTGTCAGATTTTCATTGTGTTTGTCTTCTATTAGAATTTTATGTTTTGCTAAGATTATATCATATAGATATAAAACGAAAAAGATAAATTGTGTTTTTGTATTGATTGGTAATATAGCATGATAAAATGAATACAAGTTTGTATATTAAAAATGCAAAGAATAAAAATTAGTATGAAATGATTAATATCAATTGAATTGATTTATATTGGGATTAAGTATGTGATAGCAAAATATCTATGTTTGCATGTTAAGAAGAAAACATATAATTGAATATCATCTTTCATTTTGATATAATGATATTGAAAATGAGAGGACTATGCCTATGTGAATTCTAATATCGAATTCGAAGGATTGTTTGGATAATATGTAAATTAGCTGTCTACTCTCGATGATGGTTTCACAAGAGTTACTGGTAAAATAATCACACAAATAGAGTTTTGGTCTCGTCGATATACTAAAATGATGGGTACATTCTGATTGCGAGCACATTTTTGATCAATCAAGAAAAAATATTCGCAAATTCAGATCGAAAGTGGAATTGGAGGGTGAGAGACAACATGTGCATTATTATACAATAAATATCAACTGAATTTTTACCGAAAAATCGATGATAGTTTATCATTCTTCGCTCGAATTATAAAAGGGTTGTGGTGTGTGGGTGGAAAGTGCGAATGGCAATAAGAAAAGTACGCACACCCACATCCTAGTTTCTTTTGATACGGTCAAAATGTACTATACAATATCATTAGATAAATTCGCTGGTTTGAAAGAACCTAATAAATTTCCGGTAGCCCTCAACTACTGTTCTACATACTGCACTGATTTAATCACACTTCTGTCCCATTTCTAATTCTCTTCATTTTTTTCCTTCAGAGCAACATTCTATTTGTTCGCCTTCTTTTTATACTATTGTTGTTATTTTTAGCTGACTGATTGGCATAAATCTTTCACTTGCCACCTTATTGATCGTTCGCAGATGATACTAAAAGAAAGAAAGATCTGAGTGTGAAATATTGACGACAATGGTGCAAACCATTTCTTCCTTGGCTATTATCAATATTGACATAAAGGACGAATTATGTTAAAACAAACTGAATTAGTTTTCTAAACAGAAAAGTTACATTCCACAAAAGTTAATTTAGAAATAAATGTTATTCTATTCTGTTCTTTCTATTGGATAAATCATACACTTGGTCGTCGTTCAAATATATGATCTAATTCTATAGCTTGATCATAATTCTTAATTGGACCCTTTTCGGCTTCATCGATCAATGCTTGAACATCGGGTTGAGCCAATAAATCTTTATAAGCATGATAAGAAGGTGTTAGTCCAGCTAGATTCAGTACAATATTATTTGTCTCTTTTAATTCACTATACGCTCGATCCATTGTTTCAATCAATCGTTTTTTATTCAATAATTCAATAGCAGTTTTATCTTGACGTCCATCTTCAGCAGCTAATTCTTCTGGTGAATACATATTGAAAAGTGAAAGAAGTAGATGAGTAGTATAATAAATAGTGAATCGTTCGCCAAATTGAAATGCTATAATGAAATTTCAAAAAAAAAATCCTTTAGATTTAATGTTTCCATTGGAAAAAAAACTTTCTTTTACCATTCTCATAGTTAGGTAAAACAAATGGATGCTCGTGTGCTTCAATACGTACAACAGACATTTGTTGATTTGCATCCAATTTAAGTATAGCAGCAACATTATTATATACATCACAATAGTTAGGTGCCGAAAACAGGGAAATTAAGACAGGAAATTTGGTTTGAGAGGATTTTCGAAAAAATTTTACACCATCTTTTTGTACTTCATGTCCACGAATAATTGATAAAAGTTTATTTCGAAATAAGAAATCTCGACAAGCATTATACGAAAAGAAATGAGAACATCCACGGACATTATTTGGTTTAAAATTCGGTTGTTTCTCATCGACTTGATCAAAATCTTCACTTGGATCAGACCAAAGAAAATCGCAAAGAGGACCTGAAGAAGGTATTTCCATGAAACGATTCAGTTTTTCAATATCGGATAGAGTCTGAATATCGGGTGAGATACCACCATGCATGCATAGAAAACGTGAATCAATGACAGCACAAATGGGCAATGCATCAAAAGCGATCATACAAGCATCGTAGAGTGACATTGAACCATATTTCTTTTGACATTCCAATTTAAATTGAAATGCTTCAGTCATTTGACGAGTTTCATGATTTCTGACAAAAGAATGAATAAGAAAATAAATTATCGAAAAAGATAAACCAAAATCTAGAACAAGACACTAACCAAAAATGGGCTGCCCCTTGGGCACAAAGTTTTCTATGTCGGCGTACAGAGAAATAAATCTCGTACCAACTAAAATTCTTTTTCACTCGGAGGGTCCATTCATTAGGAGAATCTCAGCTGCTGGTGTGATCCAGATAGGTGTTTGGACGTTTTTTTTTTCTATCGATACAATTGTTACGCTAATATAATTCTTTTTCGATTTACAAACATAGATCAAATAGAGTTTTTCAAAATGCTTTCGATTAAAATATAACTGAACTCACCCTCGAAGTAAGTTGATATTTTGTGGATAATTAAGTTTGAGTGCAAATAATAAAAATATACATTCACATTCGAATTGACCTCGATCAACATAATCACCCAAGAATAGATAACGTGTTTTAGCTGGTTCTCCACCGGCCGATAATATTGTGAGAAGATCATAGAATTGTCCATGAATATCGGCGACAATAGTAACAGGTCTCTGAACAACTAAAATATTCGGTTCATGTTCGAGTGTTTGTTGAGCAAGATTAACAAGATGTAAAGCACATTGTTCATCGAGACGACCCTCAGCTTTTAAATGTTGAACAAGACGATGAATGGATGGTAGACCAGATGATGAATCAAATAGATCAGTTTTTGTAAGTAGATTAGCTCGAGGATACGAAATCGAATTTACTGGACGATCAACAGTAGAAATATTCATTCTTGTCTTTTGTCAGTATTCTCGTTCTCTTTTCAGTATTGTGTGCGACAAAAAGACATCCATTTTTTTTCTTATTCTTTACACAGACCGTTTAAGTAAATAAAAAGAAATAAGTATGATTTTTGTAGTTCTTCTCGCTTGTAACTGAAGCGAGAGTGATGACGACCATATTTTATGGTTAGTAGAATAAAGTAACTTGACAACGATGCCGAAGAAATACACTAGTGTTGATTGTGTTTAAACAGAATGAAGACGGTGAAATGACTATGAAGCAAACAAGCAATCTAATAGAGACGGACGGATCTCTTTAGTGCACCATTTTCAAAATATCTGTATGCCACTGTGCTTGTTTCATTCATAAAAAATATTCGAGATTTTTAGTTAGAACTGAAGTATCCATCCCTCTTCCATTGAGTTCACGATAAATGTGAGATTTTATACTTATCAACGGTGTAGATGTGGGTGAAAAAAGATAAACACCCCACACCCTTACCATTTTGTAATGAACTTGTATTGTACTTTCATATAATTTTGAAGTTATTCATAGAAGATCAATGAAGAAATATATTCGTATTTGATATTGAAAAAAAACAAAAATAAACAGATAGAAAAAAATATTCATTTTTTTACAAGCTCATTTAATTTTTCATTTTTTTTTCAATAGCAAGGATAAATATTTTATATTTGTGCTTTATAATTTACACTCTTAGCAAGATATAGATAATAAGTATTGACATAGCCTGCAGAAAAAAAAATAATACTTTGCTATCATTGAGTCTCTGTTTATTTGCCTGAGACATCAGAAACAGTTTTACAAAAAAAAAAACAAATATAGTGGACAACACGCTGATGTTATATACTAAGTTTTTTCTAATAGCAATAAATTCTAATCGATGTTTTATTCTTAAACAGATCTTAAGATGTGTATATTTATATAAAGTTGCATTAATACCTTGACAATGTTTAATTTTCTATTCAATATATCTGTGCGTGTTCGTTTGACTTATGAAAACATTGTTGGAGATTTTTTCAATTTTGATTTCATCTATAACAGCGTCTTTTGATTATGAGATATTATCAAAAGAAAACTTCAAGATACATCTACCTTGTCACGTGTGCCATAAATCTTTGTGATTCTTTTGTAGTCGATCTATATGAGACTATCTTAAAAGGCTCGTTTTTTCATAAGAATCAGGTAAAAACTAAACCGATTTTTTTCCACATATTCCCTCGGGAATTTAAATATTTTCGAAATTCAAGTTTTAATGAATAAGCTAAATATTTTTCTCTTTCTTTCTTTCGTTAAGAAATATGATGAAGCGTCGAATCTTCTTAAAAAAATACCCATTTAAATTAAAAAATGAATTATACTGAAAATTATCAATCTTTGAATCACCTTAGAGGAAAATTCTCTCATCTTCCTGATAATATAAGTATTATTTATTTCAACATGAAATAAGATGCAAGAAATTTTTTATAACAGTGGTACTCTGTTAACTATCAGTGATTGAATAGAAATGCACTGAAATGACTTCTTGCTAGTCATTTTCTAATGTTGAACGATTCTAACCATCTCAGATTATACTGAAACAATATTAATCTGTGTATTCCACATGAAATGAATGTCATTAAACAAGTATGAGTTTTTTCGCTTCTTTGTCGTCATTCGTCGTCTGCTCTTTTGGTGAATATTTTATTGTTGCTGTTTGCCGTCCTTTTCATAGAGTATCCATTTGATCAGAGGTATAAAAATAATAAAAAAAGAAGGCAAACATAGATAATAACGGAAGAGAAAGGTTTGACACGCTGTAAAATTAAGATACGAATCATTTTAAAAAAAAGCAAACCAACACTATACGACACAAAAAAATTCTATCAACTGCAATACATCATTCAAATTACGAAGGACAACGTGAGTTTAATAACTTAATCGCAGTGAGTAACTTATTAAGGGGCCCCCCTCTATAAAAAAAAGTCAATTTTGTGATTTATAGCTTGGTGTGGGCGTGCGTGGAAAGTGCGAATGACAAGAAGAAAAATATGCACACACCCAGCCTGGTTTTTTCTGTTTCTCCATTAATTTTTATAGAAAACTAACTGTTCTGAATCTATACCCCTTGGGTTTTTTATACTGTATCAGAGGAGTTTTCTAAAAACACAAGCTAAGAGAAAATTGAAAAATGAGGCTCTGTTATGTTGTGGTACCACATCTTGGCTACATCGTAAAACCAACTCGACCTTTCTAGTATTTGAAATAACGGGAAAATTTTGGACTCACGAAAACCTAAATTTTGACCCATAATCTTAAGCTAATTCTTCATAGACTCAATGTATCGAACTGAAATTTTTAATGTCAGGTGTCTAGCTCGAGATACACCTTCACTGGAAATTGCATCAAGATTGGATGCTCGGAAAAAAAGTTTCATTTTTTAGGTGGGCCTCCTTAAAGGATCTTTTCGGATAAGGAAGACCTATTAAGAAATGAAAACCCAAATGTACTATGTTGTAGAGCTTTTTAAGTCGCATCGAGTAGTATATAGTAAATCTTGTTGTCGCAGGACTTTCAAGGACCTACAGTCAATTTACTAATAGACGACTACACACCCACACCCACACCCTAAGAACTTTTGGTATGCCCTAAGTATCAATCAAATTAATTATCCATTTTTCAATTTTTTTTTTGTTGGAATTGGATTTTATCTGACAAAATATTCGAGCCAAAACCAAGATAGAATTTTCAGACATGTAGTTATAGAGAAGACTTTCTTCGTTATCAGAACTTTTGTTCAGATCTAAGTATCTTCAGTTCCACAGAGAATCGGAAATATTTCGAAACTCTATAAGAATTATTTGAAAAATACGAAGAAGTTGATGTTGGTAATGAAGCGAGCTCCTGTTTTTACTAAAGATGTTGTCATAGAAGATGATTGTAGTTGTTGTATCTATATAACGTTGGCTTGTTTCCGATGTTTAGGTAAAAGCTGCAGAGCAACGCTTGATGTGCTACGAGAAAACCCATACGACTGATATTCTCCGCCTGAAGTCATATTTTGCATTGAGAGCCCCCATAGTGTAGGTAAAACCCCTAAAATGTTTCGTGAAATTAGGTCTTCCTTCTCGAGTCATGTCAGTTTTAGCGAATTTTCAGCTTATGTCAAAATATTACGAAAAAAATAGTAACAAGGAAATTCTTTTGAAAATTTTTCACAATAATAGAATTTATGGTTCATATGATAGTCTGAAAGTTTCAGCTCAAACTGATAATTTCTTCTTAATATATCGAATGCCTAAAAATGAACTATTTTTGAAGCTGTTACAATAAAGCAGTTTTTGTTAACATCCTGCAATAGACTCAGAATTTGATGGAATGAACAGAATTCAAGAAGAAAGGCCTACTATCAAGAACCCTGTTAAGGTTTTTATGCACACTATGAGTCCTGTCAATGCTAAATATCAGTTCAAGCTGAGAATACCAGTCAGGTGGATCCCTTCATTTGTTGGGTTAAGCACATTAAGTGTTATCATCGATGTTTAGTTATTCTTTGTTGATAATTGAAACACGTTGAATTCCGTTTTCTCCTGCTAGATTGGCAAAATATTCGGTGTTAACCTAATTTCATTTTTTTAATATTTTTTGGGGGCACCCTAAAGCAAGTATATACATGGAAAAACAACGGAACACTATCTTAATATATATATATAAGATGGCTAGCAATCAGAGTAGATAATAAAAAAAGAAGAGAAGAGAACAAGAACAAGAACAAGAGAAGATATACAGCGAAGACAGTATGATCTACTACATGGGCGGCGGAGTGGTCTTGGTCTAGGGTAGGCTCAACTTTTAAGCCAAGCCAGTACCGAGAGTCAATTGAAAGACTTTTTTTTTCGTTTATAATGGTAAGCGCTACAGATTCTCTTGCCAGGTTTAAATTCCGTAGAATTTGATAACTAAAGGATGGTTCGAAAGTTTCGACCCCTCTCTATAAATCGATAATATCTACAACAAACTTATACAAAGTTATTGATCAAATTGTGGTATTTTGTAGAGGAAGATGAGAGTTATCATTTGAAAAAAATATTTCGAAACACATAAATCTATTATAATGTTATGATCATTTTAGCAGCTTTGAGCTGGCATCCCACTCCACCTCTTTTTCCTCCTTTTCTTCTGTTCTTTTAAAATTCCTCTTTTTAGCCTCTTTTTTCGAAAAAATCCGCTTTTTCCTCTTTTCTCATGAAGAAGCAGGTCATTGAAAAAAAATATTCATGAGTGTATTGATTATTGTTACCGTATCATACAAAAATATCACATAACAAACTGATGTGCTGATCAGTCAAGTTGCATAGCTAAGGAAGCTAAAGTATATGATTTTAGTGATCAACTTCAGCGATATTATATATCCATAATCGGAACTCAATTTTTGTAGTTCTCTAGCGGAAGCAAAAGCACTCAATTATGTTTTCAATATGAAATCGTCATTCTCTCACGATCTTAACATGTATTTGTGTACTCCAAAAGTGAGTACACTCTAGAATCGGTCAGTGTGTCCGTCCGACCGTTCGGCCGTTTACACGATAGCTTTTGAAAGGAGAGTCCGATTGCAATGAAATTTTCTACACAGTTTAGTCTCAAAAATATCTCGGTCGGGTTCGAAGATGAGAATGATTCGTCAAGCCGTTCCTGAGTTATTGCAAAAATAGTTATTATTCCCTATGCCTTCCTATGCGAAAATCGACCTATCCCCGCTTTCGTAAGAAACTTTTCCTATCATAGTCAAATAAAACCCCAACTATTATATACCATTCGATAGAGAATTTCACGAGCTACAACATGGTATATAAAACATAAAGAAACAAGAAGACTAACTCACCTATTGCAAAGATAATTAAACGAGAAATGGTTCTGTTCTTGTCCACACTCTAATTGATCCACAATTAGAGCTCTGTCTTTCGATTACAGAGATGATAGTTCGAGGTTTTCTGGGTCGGAGAACTCTAATCCAAGCTCTGTTTGTCTTGAAATCCTATTGGTTGAGCAGTAACCAATAGAAATCAAGCTATGGGAAAAAACGACTTTCTTAGGGTAAATCAAGGCGAAGAGTTCAAATCTGAGCTGTATTCATCTCTAAATCCTATTGATTGAGCAGTAGCCAATAGAATTCAAGTGTTTTATAGAAAAGATTTGCCAGGATAATTTTTACGTCCACACACTCCAGGATGACTCATCTGTCTCATTCACTTTTTGAAGTACACATAACTCTCGGGTTTAAATCCGAGGTTTCCACATTTATTCTAGTTAAGATCGACATGTAAAATTATAATCTCGAGCTCACTTTTCTTGACCACTTTTTTCGGCCCCAGAGAAGTTTGTGATATGAATCTAACAATAGATAGGTAACTCGTAGCGTAGCGCATGCTTCAAAGCAAAGAGTTCCTAGGATGACTAGACTCAGTCTAGAATTCTGTCAGATTCAATGGGATTTGTTCGGCAAGATAGCTTCCGATAGTATGATAACATAAGTTGAAGATTTCTGCTTATCAGAAAATGAAGTAACCCCTCTTCCTCTTCTTCCGAGTTTCTTCGTATTTAATCACATTTTGGAGGTTCGTATATCTCCAAACCGTACACGGAGAAATATAATCGTATACGAAGAAATACAAAGTAAAACGAAAAGTGTAGACGAGCTTTGTCTGTCTATAAACGATCATATTTTTGCGCATACGATCACGGATTTATACGATCACATTACTGGGCGATATGAAACGCCGTATTTCTCCAATTACGAGCGTGTTTGCTTGACATGAGTTAATATTGACAATGGTTTGATGATACTTAGAAGAAATCGGATATGATGAAATGCAACAGCAACAAACAGGGGTATCCGATAACCAAAAAGTAAGAGATCATACAATCTACTCAATACAAGTAAGTCGTTTTATACAGAACCCAAGAAGATGATCATATGTCACTGCGAAAAATTAAGCGTTTTCGATAGCACGCGGTCAAATGATTCCCACAAACCTGCTGTCTGGACACAGTTGCAACCAATGTATTAATTTATATCGAGAAACGGAAAAGTGAAACTGACTTGCGAAAAATGGTCAAAATCACGGAAGAATTGCCGAAAATTGAAAAAGCGCAAGAAAAACTTTCTCACATGCGCAGCCATCCGAAAAAAGGAACAAAACGCAAAAAGGACATTTAATGAATTTTGATTGTTTCTATTTCTATATACCTACTTAGTTAGACAGTAATACTATACTCAGATACTATGCAGATAGAATATTTAGAATATTTTTCTAATGTTTTCCGGTTTTCTAATGGATAAATAAGCAGCTGCACAAAAATCTTCGAACAATTTGGAAGGTTCGTTTTTGTTTTTCTCTTTTAAGTCATATTCAATCGATACTGATAACGTACGAGTTTTATCGGATCTATAGTACTATAGTGCTAGTGAGTTTTAGTTTTCTTCGAAAGGAAACTGTACGCTTCTTTTTCTCCTCTTTTTTTTATTAAAAAGTCTCTTTTTTTTCAAGAATGCTGGGCATCTTTTTTTCTCTTTTTTTTTACAAAGTGTTGGTGAGATGTCAGATCTATTTCCAAATATTTTTTCACATGATAACTGTTATCTTTCTCGAGAAGATGACGTAATTTGATCAATAACTTCATATTAGTTTGTTGTAGATACTATCGATTTATAGAGAGCGGTCGAAACTTTTGAACCACCCTTTAGAGAATTTTAACATTAAACAGAGCCTATCTAAGCCTCTTTTATCTCCTCAATCTAAGACGATTCGAGCCTACTCAAGCTTTTTTATATGTTTAATTTAGGATAACTCGAGCCTACCCAAGCCTTTATCTGTTCCAGTTTGAGCCTACCCAAGCCTACCCGACTCCAATCTAGGGTAGGCTCGAGCCTACCCAGGCCTCGTGGCTCCGCCGCCTATTATCTACTACTAGTGTTACTGACATAGATCAAACTAATCACTATTACTGTACTGCATGTTAAATATCTTGTCTAAATTTTTTCTAAAAAATTGTAAAATTAGTACTACCATAAATACGTATGATGAAGTAGTTATGTTCGTAACAATATGTACATTGAAACAACAGGTTCTACATGAAATGAATACAGTCAACCGAATATATAATAAGTACACATCAAAGTCCTACAAAACTATTCCATGCTGTCCTGTACATCGTGTGCATTGCCATCTTTTCACTCTGTAAACACGTTTTCCAAGCTGTATATAATTCGTTCTTTTTTGACATTCTTTCAAAACGCTTTGAAGTATGAGATAACGCAATAAGAAGTCTTGGGAAGTTTGCAAAATGTTGCAGAGATGTATACTGAAACGCGTGACAGTTCTGCTACGTTCTGGCACACAAGTGTAGTTTTTTTCATTTTTCTTATCGTTACTAATCATTGAGAATATCATCGAAGAAAAGAGAACATAGTATTCTAGCATTCTCTAAACGCCTTAAGATGAATGTAATTATAATGAGGCTAGTCGCATAGTCTTCGAAGTACGGATCTCTTACTGAATTCTCACTTGGTTTGCATTTTTCAAAATATTTGGCAATAGCGATAGATTAAGACAGAGAGAGAAATGAGTTGAAATTATATTGAATTGTGCATGATTTTATCTTATATCCGTATGCGAAAATGAAAGTAGTGCTTGTGTCGAAAAGTTGTCGAAAAACTAAAAATTGATCGATGGAGATGGTTCTTTTTCAATCAAGAAAATCTTATCCCTTCCAGGTCGTCAAAGACGGATCTTAAATTCATGATATCAATTCACGATTAAAAACATAAGTGTTTTTTTGAGACAATTTCATAGCCAGCCATAGGTTTGACTTTGTTTCTTGAAAAAGTAATGAAGAAAGGGAAAAATCGTTTGAATAGATACGAGTCTCTGTAATTTCGCCAGTTGTGAAGTTGGCCAACGGTATATTCGCCATTGGCGAACTTCCCCACGAAATTCGCCAATTGGCGAATTACTAGTTGATATTCGCCAATTGGCAAAAACAAATTTAACTTCTTGTTCGCCAACTGGCGAATTTCCTCACGAAATTCGCCAATTGGCATCAATGGAATTATGACTCCACCAAGTTTACGGGCTAAAATATACTTTGATAGTTATGTTATCTGTCAAGATACATTTTGTTGACTTAAACTTTATTTTAAACTTCTTTTATTTCAAGTAAGAAATGAACTAGGGTGTGGATGTGGGTGTGGGGTGTGGGTGTGGGTGTGAGGGTGTGGGTGTATGTGTGCGTGTGAGTGTGGGTGTGGGGTGTGGGTGTGGGTGTATGTGTGCGTGTGGGTGTGGGGTGTGGGTATTTTTCTTCAAAACACCCTGACACCCACACCCACACCCCTGAAAGTTTCGTGAAAGTTCCATGTACCAGGACCGAGATTGATGGGGACCTCAAGTCTCTAGCAGTACAATTTTTGTTAGTCTCGGAAAACTATGATGCTAATTGATCTTTCGAAATTTTGTTTTTTATGAATAATATTGTCTTCGTAAGAACTATAAATGCTGAAATTTTCAGCTTTCTTTGATCATTTTTTATATACAATGTCCAGTATCCAATGGATTAGCCCTGCAGTGTCCCAGAACTTTTGGCCAATGGACTAACATTTAAACTTATATAACTTTCTACAGAAGCTTCCAATTCATAATGCTATAATAGTATATGAAAGGCCTCTGTTAGATCTATCAAAGCACACCACCATTGGCTCATGATAGATTCATAACCGAAAGTTATAAAAGGGAAAAGTTTGTCCCAGAACTTTTGTCCAGCACTGTATAGTGACCAATCGCGTATGGTCAAGTGTGGACTATTTTTAATGTAAAAAATGACCACAGAGGGCGTTGTGCTCCAGTTCGATTTTTATGTATCTGCATGTAATGTATGGCACATGTCCGAGGGTCTCTATAATTTTGTCAATTGTGAAGTTGGCCAACGGTATGTTAGCCAATTGGCGAATTACTAGTATGGCATTTGCCAATAAAAAAAATAAATTTGATTTACTGTTTGGCCAATTGGCGAATGTCGTGGGGAAATTCGCCAATTGGCGAATTACTAGTTGATATTCGCCAATTGGCAAAAAATACAATTGGCGAAAACAGGAATTGGCATTAAGATATTTCCCCATAGATACGACCAAGCGTCCAAGCGGAATCTTGATTGATGCATGAAAAGATCATTATATTTCCTAGGATTATAATCAACTTCTTGAGAAATTTTAGGAGAATGACTTGAACTTTTTCTAGATTTTATTTGACCAGATTTCCATTTAGATGGCATGTTTCTAATATTAATAGCTTCAACGAGAATCTGTCGTGTTGTTCCTACCAGAATTCCCTCAGAAATACAGAAAATTAAGATGAACACGATTCGTTTTTTTGTATCTTTAACAGAATATTATATCGGTTGACAGTTACTATAAGTATGTTTTTCTTGCGAGATATTTTTTCTGCATTGAGAGTGTGCATATTTAAACACGATAAGCTAATAGTATTTATTTTTTTTTAGCTTTTATTTGACAAACGTTATCAATAAATTCGCTCAAAATCTTCATTACATATTCAAAAATGGCTTCGAAATACGTCGACATTGATGAAGAACCAGCACACACACAACGTTTTTCGGATATCGCTGGAGAACCTTGCCGAATGCTAATGCCGATTCAAGGATATGAAAAAAAGCCTCTTGTTTCACTTGAAGATGCTGTGGAACCTATCGTTTCGTATGTACCTGATGTGAAACGAATGGCCTATATTGCAAAAATGAAATGTGCAGAGCTTTCACCAGGAGGATTACCCATGGATCGAGCAGCCTCAATCACGCTCTATTCAATGGAATGGGAGCCTCAAGATGAATGTCTGTATTATATATTAAATCAGACACTACGAAATGAAAATCGGCAAAAACTGAAACCGTGGTTCCTTTATCTCCGGCTGATTCTTACTGCACTGGCTCAACTGCCGTCATCTGTTCGTAATGTTTATCGTGGAGTTAAACGTGACATGAGAAAAGAATATCCAGAAGGAAAAACATTTGTTTGGTGGGGATTCAGTTCTTGTACATCCAAGATAAACGTACTCCAAAATGAACAATTTTTGGGTACAACAGGTCCAAGAACTTTCTTTACGATTGAATGTAATAGTGGCAAAGATATCCGAAAATACTCCTGTTTTAAAGCTGAAGGTGAAATTCTTCTTCCAGCCGCAAGACAATTTAAAGTCGAAGCATGTCTTAGCCAAGGTAAAGATCTTTATCTCATACAACTCAAAGAAATTCAACCACCATTTCCCCTGATCGAACTTGTACCAATAGTAAGATCATCTATTACATATTCATTAACACATATAGTCATGCGTTCTTTTTTCTAGACGCCTGCCACAAAAGTTCCAGAAGCAGCAGCAGTAGCAAAAGTTCCAGAAGCAGCA